ATCCTGGACAATTTTGTTTTGCAGGTTAAGGGTCCCATCCCCTTGCATGTGGTGGCATATCTATACCCCAAAACCAAAATAATGAACATGGGGAGTCCTATCTGTCCCTAGAGCAGCTGACACCTCTTATCAGAAGCTGCCCTCTTAGGCAGTTTCCCACCATGGTTTCTTGACCCCATACACAGCAAAAATCAATGACATCTGAGGTGAGTCACAAGTACTTTGTTACCAAAATGAAGAAGTGTATTATTTTAATAATTTGCTTTGTTTTGTTTTATAAACTTGAACAGTTTTGAGATTATGCCTCTAATCTGGCAAGTCTCCCACTTTTGGCAGAGGTACAGTAGTTGTCCATGACCTTGGATGTACTTGTGTTGCATGTATGAACGCCCTTCATCATGCAACAACTTATTTTTTTCTTGCTCATTCCCTGAAGGATCTTATTTTAAGGAGGAGTTGCCATTCCTTTTTGAGGCCAAAAAAAAAAAGGTAAATGGAAGAGGGTCAGAGATACTTTTTTTCCTTACACTTTTGGTGTGGGCTAGCACATAAGCACTCATAATAGCCTCCTATGACTTCATGGCCTCCAAGCCAGTGACAGATCAGCCTCCTTCCAATACACCTTTATGAACATCTGTGAGTCTGTGTGAACATCTGTATATACATCTGCATATATGATTTCATTCGTCCCAGCATGTCTGTGCTCACATTCCGATGTAACACCTGTTAAACTGCAGCGTCAAGTATCTGGCTATCGCTAGGGCTTTAGGGCTAATTCTGGGGAATGAGATGCACTCTCAATTTAATACAGGTGGGTAGAGATAACAGGAAGCCGGAGATCCAGGGAAACAGTGGATTTCCTTGAGATCTTTTTTTTAATGGTCCAGAAAGAATAGGTCATGCTGAAGCAAGTTAGCCTTTAGCCACTAAAGGCACCCTTTGGAAATGTTCTGCCATGACCCCTTTTTTTACTCTACTGGGATTTTTTTTTTTCTGCCAGTTGCAGCCAGATTGAATACTTGCAGCCCAAGTGCTAAGTCCCAGAGAACAAGAGTTTGGATAAAGAAAGATTATCAGGACTTACACTGTAGCCTTGTTATGTGCAAAGTCAGAGCCTCTCCTGGTTGCCTCACTTTCAAACCGGAAGGCATCAAAGGGGCAGCCAGGTCATCTTTGTTTCAAACTGTCTTTTCTCCTGCTGTCAGCTTCTACTATTTCTCACCTTTTTTAAAAATTAATTCTTCGGAGAAGTCCCACTGTGAAGTTGGCCTGAAATGGTTATTCTTAAAGAATGGTTTTAGTGCTCTTGTTTAAAGTACCACCCAGAAAAGTCTTTACAATTCTGGATATGAATGGGGCTCTCTCGTCAGAAAATGGTATTAACTGGGGTTGGAAGGAGGGGAGGCACTCAGGAAATGACTACAGCCTGATCGAAGGAAGACTCCCCTCTTAGTTGGAGAGTGGGCAACTGCGTGAAGTGGAAAAGGCAAGAGGAACCCTGTGGGCCTGAACACCAGTGACCCTGCTGAGGGCTGGTTACCTCCTTGGCCTAAGAGTTACCCTATCCTGGAGCCAACCAATGCTCTCTAAGACACATGTCACCAAACACTCAACAATTTCTCCATAATAACCTTTAATACTAAAATGCATTAAATTTTTGAAGCAGAGAAAACACATTTAAGGGGGAAACAGAGAACCACCAGATAAAAGGAAACAATGTGGCAGATAACACCATTTAAACATAACTGTAATAATTTAATAAAGCTGCTTTATCATCTTCATAAAATAGACAGAGTGGTGATTTTTGTCTTTTTTTCTTTTTACAATGATTCAATAACTGTGAAAATGTACATAACATACAGATCAGCATATACAACAATGTCATCTTCATATAATCAGCAACAGAGACTGCTTAATGAGACATACTGTACTTGCATCCCTCTAAATTTCCACCCTGGTTTGACAGGTAAACAGTAATAGTGTCATCAGGCTCATTCCCCTCACTAGAGGAGAGAAGGCGTAAGCCTTTTGCAACTAATACCTTAGCATTCAAATAGCACAAGGAGGTATTTGTTGCTGAATTTCTAGCTTGAGCTAGTCTGGCTCTTGGTCATTAAAGTCTGTGTCCTAGCCTTCCTCAGCTGAACGCCAGCTAGTGCCCGTAAAAACCGACTTAACCAGTGCTGCAATGGTGTTAGCTGTTTTGTTTGCTAAAGTTGACAGCAACTTTCAGTTAGTAACAAGGTCATCTTTGACTGCCAACACAGCTGGAGCAACAATCAGCCTCATTAGTTTTTCCCTAATGACCTACAGTGCTTTCCAATCAAGATCAGGTTTTCGTGGCTTGTTCTTTACCAAGAGCACCTTGCAATATACATTTCAGACAAGGTGGTTGATTTTCTTTGTTTTACAAAAGCAATATGAGTTCTATTTGAAATTAATTCACTTTTGCACAACAAGTGACCCACAGGCCAATTCCAGCCTCACAAGAAAACAAAGAGAGCTGCAACAACTTCATTAGGACAATGTGTTTTGCTCTGGAATAGTTCATTATCAATATAAAGCCACCCGGTCCCAGCCCCACCCCCACACATCCCCTTTGAATATTACCTTGTTACATACTTAAACTAAAGAACAACATCTCAATACACTTCAGTGTCAGCAGATACAATTTGACTCATGAAATGACATCCTTAAATGTAATTTTACTGAGAAGGCAAACACTAGGACTGTATACAATGGACTTCTTAAGCTCATGTATGCCAGGTTTTCAAAGTCAGTTAGGGTCTTATTACCCTGGGTAAAAAGCCAAGTGGACCAGACTTGTCAGGATGCTTTGGGGAACATTCAACATCAAAATGATCCCCATGGAGTGAACTGGAATTCCAACCAGAACTCCTATTATGTACAATAATAATCCTTTTCCCACCCTGGATGCCCAATTGAGCTATCCCCTACACCCTGCCTCTCCCCAAACTGCCCTTTGTCCTTGCTGCTTCAAGTGGACCACTTTTCTTTTGCTTGTTAATGATATGATAGAGCAATGTGAAAAGTTCAACTGAATTCCCATCATACGATCAGTTGTATGCTGAAGGAACACAATCGGGATGATACTCTGGGTGTTGCTAATTTTCAGAGTTCCACGTTGTATTCCCTTTAACCTTTTTAATTCATGGTCAGTGGGTAACCATGTCAACAGATTAGTTTAAATGGGCACCTTACGTGCAATTAGCTCTACGAGGCAGGTTTATTCTGGAGCAGTGATACTCAAAGTGTGGTCCCTGGACCAGCAGCATCAGCATCACCTCGGAATTTTTAACTAGGCAAAGACTCAGGACCTGCCCCAGACCTGCTGAAACTCTAAGTGTGGGGTCCATCAACCTGTGCTTTAATGAGCCCTCAACATTTAGTGGGCATCTGATCCATATGAATTACTAGGCCTCACTGCCAGAGTTTCTGCTTCAGTTGGTCCGGGTGAGAACAGAGGATTACCATTTCTGAGAGGTTCCCAAGTGATGTGGTTGCTGCTGGTTCAAAGACTACACTTTGAGAACAACTGCCCTTCAGGAACTGCAGCATCCCTTGGCCTGGGCAATAAGGTGGATCATAATTTACTCTACTGGCTTTAAGAGGATCAAAGAGATGGTAAGTTTCATTCTGAACAGGTTCAAAGATCAGTCAGTATAGAGAAAAGAAAAAAGAGACTGCACATAGCGTGGCTCTCTTCTTCTTCCTATTCCTTGTATAGAGCATATTCCCATATTTGGGGGAAAACAATCAATGCAGACGAAAGCCTTTATATTGCATGAAGAAGTTTACCTGCCCAGGGATGTGCCCAACGCAGCTCTAAGAAAAGCAAGTCATGCCTCAACACCAGCTCCTTCCCAAAAGGGACATCAGGATAGATGGCATAGAACTCCCTAGAATTTAGGAACTGAAACTGCTCCCTTATGTTTTAAATGTGTAACATGTTTAGAGAGGGAAAAGGAAGAATATTTGGCCCTCTGGCCTTATGTGGCTTTGCCTCAGACATATTGAAAGGAAGAAGGGAAAAACATGAGCCAAAGGGAAATCTAGGATCCTTGCACAAAATTCCTGCTCGCAGGCATAGCCTATCTATAAAACGAGCTTACAAAGCCCTCCTAGGATGCACTTGTGCTTCTGGGAGTACGTATACATCAGACAGTTGTAGAAGAAAAAAAAAGATTCTTAAGGACGGGAATTCTCTGAACATGCTCAAAAGGGTTTGGGAGCCAAAAAATCTCTGACTTCCCACTGAGAAAAAAAAAAGTATTTTGATAAGGAAAAGGGATTGGACTGTAGCTTGAAACTGAATTCTGAAAAAAATGGGGGGGAAAAAAAGCAAAATCGATGCCACTGCTACTCTAACCATTTTAAACCTGGCTGGTAAGAGACATGGCAGCCAGTGCCCTCTCTGGCTCAAGAGCCATATAATATTTAATATTCCCACTTGCCACAATCCTCTCAGCTCCCTCATTCCCACTGAGCATAGCAGGAAATACACCTGTACAAAAACTGTCAAATCTGACTCGAAAGTGACCTTGATGTGGTAGCTAATAACATAATATCAGGATGGATCAGGCGAAGAACAGTCGAAATTCTACAGGCAGCCATCATAACTTAAAGGAAAAACATAATTTTTAATGTGTTAATCAAATAGTCACTTGAAAACACAAGTAAGTACCTAATTCGAAATGTGCTAAAATGAAATGAATCAGAGGGGGAAAAAAAGTGTGAGAGGTAATGAAATGAGCCGAAATGAAGATGTTATGGTAATTGATCTCTACTTATATCAGTTTTAGAGGGAAATTTGCAGCCACACCAATATTTTGTATGAGGTAGTATTCAGCACTGAATAAGAAATAAGGATGAATTTATAGCTTCATTATAGGTTCTTTTTCAGAAATATTCTCCCCTACCGAACCCCATCCCTACTGCCTTACCTACCACCCTCCCTCAAAGCCCTCCCTCCCATAAAGGAAAATATTCCTAGTAATGTATAAAGCCAGGAACTCAGACAAAAATAAAACATTTAAAAGAGCTCGCTTATCTAAACTTAAGAAAATAAATCCTCTTTTGCATTTTGGTGCTCTAACCTCTAAGCCTTTTTTCTGGGTACTCTTGAATTTCAAAAAATGAAACAAGTGAGAACAGAACCACAAAACTTGTTTCTCTAGAAACAACTTTTTAAAGACCAAGGCAGAGCAAAGGTGACTTATCTGTTTAGTTTTAAAGGTGCGAGAATACTATGTTGGCTACTAAATATTAATAGACACTAAATGGAGTTGGAGAAACAAACAAAAAGAATGTGCATAACAAACTTATTAATAATAAAAGGTGTATTCCTAGCCTACAGCAAAGAGTTAGCTAAATCTAAAGGATTTTTATTTTAATAGTTTCCTGTTCACATTTTTAATTTAAAAAAGTATTAGTCATAAAAAGACGAGTTCAAGTGTCCAAGTGTCTCCATTTAGAAGGCACAGTAATTGGATTAGTGATGCTGTTACTGATTACCTGTCTTTTCCTAAATGTACACTTTGTACTGCTTACTCTATTCCTATTTATAATCCTACAATACAGAGCAACATGGAGTTCTCAATTCCAGCCCCCGACATGCTTTCCAGTCTAATTCTAATCGTGATTGGGAAACACTGAATCAGGAAGGGTGTGTCAGAAAAGATGCTAATTTAGATCTCAAAATAGATTCAGTCTTTTTGAATTTTAGACGATTAGAAACAGGGAATTTCTAAGCCTGGGAACTGATAACTTCAGGAGCAACTTTCCCATTCAGGGCCTGAAAATTTTAAAAATTGATGCCATAAAACTTTCAGCACAGTAGTTCTGACAACTGCAAATTAGATAGCAGAATATCCAAAAATGACTTTCTGTGATGATCTATCACTGATCTGGGCAGAAGACTGAAAGGCAGGAGAAATACTCTGCAAGGTGGTGAGTAATCACTACATGAGTATCCACCATGAGTGAGTATCCTCCAAGTATTCAATCTATACGTGTGGTGTTGCTCATTCACTTGCCATCTCGGTTTTTTGCACTTTGTTTTTGTCTATAGTTTTATTAAGAAAAAAAAAACACCAACTTCTAAAAAAGCCTTTTGCCGTCACCACACACATAGCAATTTGCAATATCAAATACAACAATAGCACAGCTAGCAAAAGGGTTCTTAAAGCAGGGGTGTCCACAGCAAAGTAGCGGCATTGGAAAGTACTCAAGCTTCAGAAACAACCTTTTGGGGGCTCAATTTCACATCACTGAATCAATGAATAGTACACAATAAATGACCATTAACTTGTCTACACTACAAAACAGTGGCGAGCTTATTAAAGGTGTCCAGAGCTTTCTCCTTTTTTTTGTTTTTTTTAATGTAATCCTCCACAAACAATGGTAATTTATATTATAATTTTGACATAGAAAAATATATAAATTCAAACACTTAATACATAATACTTTTCACAACTGAATTTGTCTCTGTTTCCCCAACATCAAGGCCCCATGAACAACTCAAGCCAAAGCTAATTTGCTCCACCTGAACACCCCTGCTGCCTGTTGAAACGAGAGGGATTGTCACAGAATGATAGTCACTTATAAACAACACATTTAGGGAAAGCTCTGAAATAACAGCCACTCAAGAACCAACCATTGGTGAGCAATTAAAACAATCAGCTCCTGCTTCCTCGAAAACCAGCATGGTTTCTCTCTCTTCTTCCCCGAGACTGCTTTAGAGAACGATATCCTTCAGACGCTTCACACCAGGAGACTCTTTGTCACGACCCTCCTTCAGAGTGGGGTTGACCTCATGCATGACTTTCTCGCTGTCAGCTCCACGGGGCTCAGCTTCAGAGGGACGAGATGGGCCACTGTGGATATACTGCTCCAGATCACGGGCTGGGGGCGCCAGGGCAATGGTGTAAGACACGGAGGGCTTGGTGGGCAGAGGGCTCTTGAGGTGCAGGGGGGAGGTGACAGGGCTAATCGCCTCACAGCCATTGCCCGCCTCCCGAATAGCACCGTTGACCTTGGGGCTGCAGATGGTCACATTGACAGTTCTCCTGCCTTTCAAGGTGGGCCTCTCCTCAGCCGGGTGGTCACTGACATCTTTTCCAAAGGTTGCAAAAGTCCGCTTGGTGGGGCCGCAGTCGTCATAAGCCTCAACATCAGCAGCAGTAGCCTCAATGGACAGCGCGATGACGTTCCTCACGTGCTCAGGGGACTTGGAGCGGGCGGGCATGGGGTTCCGGGGCATCCAGCACCTGTCAGAGTGGCCAAGAATCCGACATTCTTCCCTGCAATGAAATCCTTCATTCTGATCTGTTTGGAGAAAATAAAATGTCGATTACATCAGCTTTTCCCAGGAATCATTGTTACTCCCCAGTGTTCTGGTTTCTTAGGTACCCACAGGCCCTTTTGGGAAATGGCATTTTTAGATAGTCCTTTATTGCCTTTTGGGACAAGTGTAAAGAATTGGATTTTTAAAAGGCTGTAGATCTCCCCCTGTATACTCTTTTTTTTTTATTGTGATTTTTGTTGTTGTTCCCACTGCTGACAAAACTAAAAACCTAAAGGGAAACGCGTTATGATGAAAAAATGTATTTTTAAAAAATTTATCCTGAGTGTCAAGGCGCTGAGAGTCAGCGTTTTTATCAACACCTCCTGCTAAAAATCAACTGCATTTGAAACTGGTTCCAGCAGAAGGAGTGAAGGCAGAGCAGGGAATCCAACAGTCAGTATATCTGAGAAGTCTTGGCCATATTTTTGAGCAACAGCACTGCCAGCCCTGTTTCCACCCTACTTGTCAATGATATGCCATGCTTAATTTTAGATTGGTATCATGCTCTCTTTGAAAACCCAATCACTTCCCTTCTTTTTGACCATCAGTTCCACCAGCCAATCTTCTCACTAAGTTATTTATATGACTTGATTTCCCATTAGAAGGAATATACTGAGATCTTTTCCTTCCATCTGACCCATAAGCTTTAGTTGACCCTATGCACACATCACTCATAGGCTGTGCATCATTTAATTATACTCAACTAGCCATCCCTCCTTATTTTCCTTATCTGCAGTTTTATTAGGGTCATATTTCTTAAAGAAATCTTTCATGGATTACATTAACCCTATCATAGATCTCAGCAGTTAGAATTCGTAATTATTGGTAAGGCATTTTTTTCTCTTCTCAAATCAGGTTCTTTTAGAGTTAAGGCTTTAATTTGACTCTCAGAGAGGCTTTCTACATGGGTTTCATCAAAGCATGGACCCAGGGTTAATTTCTGCTTTCCATTGGAAAATTGTTCATCTCAACGTCTGGTTTATAGCCCTACTTTCCCAGATCCATTTTTATTTACATTACATTCTTGTATGAGGATGACCTAATCAAAATTTTCATCACATTATATAGTGCATCAAAATACGAGCAGTTTAACATTTACAGAAAACCCTGGGGCGAGATCGGAGGAGGTGGGGAGACAAGGAGAGACTGCAAAGACAGAAAAAAAAGCATGCCAAAAAAAGTTGAAAATATATTCTGTGATTGCTTTTTTGCTGGGGGAAGAAGTTTGAAATTCAGGGTCTTGCCTGATATAGTCTATATATAACACACCTTCCTTATACACTTGTATTTCTTTGTTTGCTTCTTGTTTTTAAATAGTAAATGGCATAGCAGAGGGGCAATGTTCTGCCTCGTCTATCAAAGGTTATTTTGGTAAAGGAGCACATACAAGGGGAGGCTCAAGAAATAATGGTTGAGCTGGATGTATACCTCATCATATGGAGAAAAGGCATTGGAAGCAGCTAAATGTCAAGGCCTAATCCAGGCTGAGTCCGGATTTCAACCCAATTCTGGGAATGGCCTTTGACCTAGTTTAAACTACTGAAAAGCCAATCAAAGTTAAGACCCTTTCAGTGTACTGGGACACAATTTGCCAATTTATCTTTAAGATGGTCATTTTATGCTCCCTTTCAGTGGTGGAGAATAAAACACTCAGAATTTTGCCGCTATGAAGCCAAATAACAAATGAGCATTATCACCAATAAGATAAGTGCCTTTCACATAGATAGGGCAACGCTTCTGCAAACTCCATCATAGTTCCACATGAGGGTTGCAGGACCACCTCTACAAAATACAGAGTTGTCAAAGCCTTTTCTCTGCCTCTTCCCTGCAAACTCTCAGTGCTGCCATCTGATAGCCTATCATCATTCAAAATGTATATGTTTCTGGGAAAAAGTATGAAAGTAAGGAAAACACGCTGGAACATACTTGGGAAACATTTACTTTGTATAGGCTCAAACATCAGTGGAAGAGTGTACAGATGATCCACCTACAAGCAGTTTCATCTAAATCCAGTGTTTTCCCAGGAAGCCCCCAAGATCCCTCCAGCAGGACAGAATTCACATGTTCAGAGTTTCCCAAAAAGACGTTTTTTTTTTTCTTCTCCATCTCCTCTGAAGCCCATATCATAACTTTCCAAGTAATAGCTCTAAAGAATTAGTGTATTTGTTTTGAGGTGAAGATTAAGGAGGTGCAAGTTGGGGAATAGTTTAATAATTAACTTCTATTTCTACAAATCTGAGTAAGAGTCCCCTGGAAGTCAGCGAAAAGAAAAAAAAAAAAAAGTTCAGAAGGTTATGAAATCCCTGTCGTTTTTGTTACTAATTTATAGCACAAAGGCATGAAGGACTTAGTCTTTGAACCCTGGAACCATGGACATATGATCAGCTATTAAGAGGAAACCCTAGCTGACCTTCAGACTGATATTATAGGTCACTTGTTCACACACCTGAAGTAGAACAGTGGTGAATTATAATCTAGCAGAATCATCCCAATGAGCTCAACACACAGCTCTCACTTAAGTTTTTAGGATCAAGTAGCTGCCTTCCACTATTCAGTAGGAGAATGCCATCCATGTGTTATACGGAATGCAAGTACAGTGCTCCTGCCCATATTAGACTGCTTCAAATGAATAGCATGGGAAGACCTGGATCCCCACCACACACAGAAGGAGAGCAGAGACCCCAGAGATAGACACCTGTAAGATCTTATGAATCTAGGAAGACCAGAGCAGGGAACTCAGTCTTCTCAGAAGCTTCTGTGCAAAGACAATACTTGCTTTCAACTTACCCACTGCCTAAGTGGATAAATCACCCTCTGGGAAGAGGAAAAGGTAAACTCACTCAGCATCCCCAGGAATGTGATCATAAGCCTACCCACCAATCTTGCTAAGCCTACTTCAGCCCTATATGAGATAAAAAATAATAGGTAATTTTTTGAATTAATTATGTGAACTTATATGTTCACTGCTCTTACCTCAATGTAAGCAAAGACTTGAATCTAAGAGACTCATTTACTCACAATGTTTCACCCATGGCTTAGATCTGATATCTTTATTTCCTTAAATCCTTAGTAAGGGCAGTGACTAGCTGCTTATCATTTTTAGTATCAAACAACACTCGATGACATTTGTGTCAATTCAATGTGATGAATATGCAACTGATAAATCATTGAATACTACATCTGAAACTAATGATTTACTATATGTTGGCTAATTGAATTTAAACAAAAATCTAACCTAGTTTTAGCGTTTATAGCCATATGAAATATGAAAGAAAACACGCTGAATATAGATAGGCAGGAAGAATGTCTTCCCAGCCAAAGGTAAACTACATTCATAAATGTACTGCAGATAAATTACTTTTTCAAAAACCAAAACTTCAGTTTAGTAAGGAAACTGCATATTAAAAGTGAGAAAGTCACAATACAAATCCCCTTAAGAATAGCAATGAAGACAGACCAGATGTGAAAAAGCAAAGAAACTACTTCTGGAATTGCACAGGACTGGTAGAGATTATGTGTCTGCCATCATGTAGTATTGTGGCTAGGGATGGAGGTATGAGAGTAGAGAGGAACCATAAAAATTAGCTGTCAAAAAAAAAATTAACTATCAAGATACTGGTTCCAGCTGAAACAGAGGTCAGCTAACAACTCATTGATTCCCTGCTAAGATTCCTCTTTTGTGCCTACTTATGACTCTATACCTTGTTACATCTTGACCTGAGCCTACGTAAAGCAAAATGTGAACCTCTAAAATCCACACATAGTTGTGGAAATTCAAACACATTGCCAGGTACAGATAAACGAAGGCAGGTGTCTTTAATTCAAATGTACACATAATTAGGGGTGAATGATGAATTTGCAAATTGGTCTTCCCTGATTCTGAACTTGTTCCTAAGATTTGCAAAAATAAATAAAATGCATAAGTTTGGAAGAGGGACAGACAAATCTCAAAGCCACTCCTTAGATCAGGTTTAGACAAAAAATTCAAAATACAGAGACAAAATAAAGCTTCCTCAATCTAGGTGGTAATACGTATTTGTTTGGTCACAATCTGTCCTTAGGGACCCTGGTGAGAGAAACCTAAAACTTCTGGCAAAAAAAAATATTATATGTTAAATAAAAGGCCTAAGAAGAGATAGTAATGAATTAAGACATGATGGATAAGGAAGTAATTCAAATAGAAAAAGAAGAGAATATGTTATTTTGGGCAAATATTAGCCAAACTTTTTGCAGCAATTGCTACCCTCCTCATAAAACCACTGTCTCTTCAGATGCAGGCAAACAATGTGCTTCCACACCAGAAAGAGCCTACACATGGTCCCAACCAAAGTTAAAAAAAAAAAAAAAAAAGTGATGAAAACACCATCTCAGGCTTAGCTAAAACTTTCAAAGTCCTGGTGGAATAGAAGAGCTGAGAGGCTCTGTTGGGTTTGTATAGATGTCCAGCCACAATGGATGTGTTCAACAATGCTGCAGCTCTTTATTGTGATTAAGAGTTTGGATGTATTTAACTCAAAGATCCCAATGGTCAGAGACAAAACTCTAATGCTAAAAAAGTTCAAGGTAACAGTTAACAAGAGCAATGTGTTACCTCCTCAGAAGTGATCTGCAGTCAATGAGGCAGAAAGAGAAAGTTAAAGTGAGTTCCAGTTCCTAAGAGCTCAAGTAGTTAGTTACTTCTACATAGCGGCAGTAACATAACCTACATGCAAGTGATGTGTAAATCAGGAAAGCTTCCTGGATTGTACTCATATGCATCCACCTAGCTTAATCTGCATCAACCCCCTGAACAAAATAATCTACAACAAAAGCAGGACCAATTTTTGTAAGCTATAATGGAAGGGATGGTAGCACCAATTAGGAACAGGCTAAGTGCTGTTACAATTTGTCATGTGCACCTAATCAAGAAAACATAACTGCTAGGAAATATCCCCTCTTGACCTACCTCTTACTCATCTGAAGCACACATAATGAACTGAAC